TACCTGATGATTAGTGATTTAGAGCACCTTTCACATATCTTTTGACCTTTTGTATGTCTTCAGAAAAATGTCTTCTCAGGTCTTTTGCCCATTTTTTTTTTTTGCCCATTTTTAAAATTGCATTATTTTCTTTGTTTTTACCACATTGTGTGAGTTTTTTATATATTTTGGATATTAGTCCCTTATCTGATTTATAGTTGATAAATATTCTCTCCTGTTCTGTGCATTGTTCTTTTAATTCTTTTTTTATTGTTTCCTTTGCTGTTCAGAAGCTCCTTAGTTTAATGCAGTCCTACTTTTTTATTTTAGTTTTTGTTGCCTATGCTTTTGGTGACTTATCCACAAAATCATTGCCTCTACCAACATCCAATATCCTTATCCTTCGGCCTCTACTAGTGATTTTATATTTTTATATGTTTTTATGTTACTTATTTTTGTCTTTTTTTCAGCTTTAAGAACTCACTTTAACGGGCACCTGGGTGGCTCAGTGGGTTAAGCCTCTGCCTCCTCTCAGGTCATGATCTCAGGATCCTGGGATCCAGTCCTGCATCGGTCTCCTTGCTAGGTGGGGAACCTGCTTCCCCCTCCCCCTCTGCCCGCCTCTCTGCCTCCTTGTGGTTTTTCTCTCTGTCAAATAAATAAATAAAATCTTTACCAAAAAAAAAAGTAGTCACTTTAACATTTCCATAGGGCAGGTCTAATAGTTAACATCTCTTCTGACACATGGCATTAACCAACCATCACTAGGATCTTGCTTCTCCTCTCCTCTGCCATCTTGGGTGAGAGTTAAAACTTTGACATGCTATCCTCAGAGATGCTGGAAAAGTCTTTATCTCTTCTTCAATTCTGAATGACAGCTTTGTTGAGTGAGGTATTCTTGGTTGACAGGTCATTTTCCCATTGATCACATTAAACATATCATCCCACTCTCCCCTGTGTCATCCATGGGAAGAAGTTCTTGCTGAGAGGATCCTTTTTGGTGTCTAGTTTGGCATGCTGACCTCAGAGCTCTCAAAGCATTATTGGAGCTGTCATCCAGGATCAGGTACCAATGGAAACACCATAGCAACTGCGTGTTGGTGCACAGGTGCACTTGCTGTGGCTGTGGCACTCGGGTCTGGGGTGCAGACATGTGTACATATTCCCTGGAAACTGTACTTGGGTCTCAAGGGCTCACCATGTGACTCTGGCTGGCTGGAGGGAAGAATGTAGCAGTGACATGGGCTCTTGGATGACAAGATTCATTTGAGACGTGAGGCTGTGAGGCAGGGTGTGGTAGCAGCATAGTCTGAGGACAATAAGTCGAAGTTTCAATTCTGTCCCAAGTAGCAGTCACAAGATAGCAGCAGCATGAACCAGTGGTGGTTTTTTCAAATCATGTGTCAGGACCCAAGGAGCTGAGCATAGAGCTCTAGCAGTCTAACCCCCAGTAACAGTTCAAAGCTGTGACCTAGGAGCTGAAAATTTGTCTTGGGATGCAGCGGTACAGTACCCCCAATGACTACTCAGGACCCTGCCAAGGAACCTACAAAATGGGGCTCAAGGCAGTGAGAGCTTGGCCCTAGCAATGACGGGTCAGAGCCTTGAGCTTCCATAGGTGGAGGAAAAGGTCCAAGCAGCAGCAACCTGGTGTTAGCAATGGCAGCTCAGAGTCCAGGCCTGGGATGGGGTTGTGGTTCAGAGCAGGAGAAGCACCATTTACAGTAAGACCCAGAGCCATAACATGGAACCCGATAGGTGGGGCATAACATCGTGGCATTTCATCCATGTTGTAGCATGTGACAGGATTTCCTTCCTTTCCAAGGCTGAATAATATTATATTGGTATGTGTATACTATGTTTTCTTGATCCATTCAACCGTCAGTGGACTTTTGGGCTGCTTCAATCTCTTGGCTCCTGTGAATAATGCTGTAGTCAGCATGGGTAAACAGATATCTATTTGAGATCTTGCTTTCAATTCTTTATATATTTCCTATATGTGGAGTTACTGATTCATATGGCAATTCTAGTTTCAATTTTTTGAAGAAGCACCATACTGTTTTTCATATTTTCATAATAGCTCACCAATATATATTCCCAACAATAGTGTATTGGTAAGACCAACACTTTTTTTTAATAGTATGCATCTTAAGGAGTATGAGGAAATATCTCTTAGAGAATTTGATTTGCATCTCTCTGATAACTAGTGATACTGAGCATCCTTTCATATGTTTTTAAACATTTGTATATTTTCTTTGGAAAAATCTCCATTTAATTCCTTTGCCCATTTTTAAATTGGGTTATTTGGTTTTTGTTGTTGTTGTTACTAACTCATATGATTCCTTATATATTTTGGATATGAATCCTTTGTTTGATATATACGATTTACAAGCATTTTTTTTTCATACTCTGTCATTTCATTCTCTTAATCATGCCCTTTGAGTCAGAGAAACATTTTAGTTTAATGTAGCCCATTTGTCTACAACAGACTTTTCCTTTGTGGTCTTTGCCTTTGGTGTCATATCAAGAAATCATTGCCAAATACAATGTTTTCCCTTTCCCCTCATATTTTCTTCAAGGAATTTTATAGTTTTATATCTTGTGTTTAGGTCTTTAACCTGGTTTGAGTTAACTTTAGTATATGGTGTAAATATTGGCCTCCAATTTCATTCTTTTATATCAGATAATCAGTTTCCCAACACCGTTTGTGAAAGATATAGTCCCTTCCCTACTGAATGGTCTTGGCACACTCATCAAAAATGATTAGACCAAATACACATAGTTTTGTGTCTGGGTATATTTTTAAATTATTGTTTACATGGGATATTTAGGGTTTTGTGTATCTTCATCTTGTTGATGTTATCCCCGGGCAATCTGAAATACTATGCCAGGCAGATAGGGATTCTGTGGTAGATGATGGGGTCTAATGCTGCTGGAGGTGGAGGATATTATCACCCATTCCCTGATCTTCACACTGATTCAGGTCCCTTCATGATCTATTCTGTTCCCTCAGGAATATTTTTTTGTCTGTGGTTTGGAAGTGTGCTTCAGCCATTTCATTATGAATTCTTTGTTGTGGATTTCTATGTGCTCTACTAGTAGTTTGCTAAGCCCCTGGTGTCCAGGACTATTTTTTAAATATTCGAGAAGTTGTTCATACATTCTGCCCTAGGATTTTTTTTTTCTGCTGTATTTTTTCTTTTTCTCTGCCCTGTTGTCCTTCTCAGTTTGAATTTAGACCTATGCAGGCTTTCCTAATACTATTTGGAATGTCCTGAACATTGTTATTTTTTCTTTTTTCTTTCTCATCCTATGGGATGAATAAATTATGTTACTCCTTTGACAACCTGATCAATTTTTTTCTACTGCATCACAAATTTTCTGTATTGCCAATACAGTGAATTTTTTATTTGAGGTATGTATTTATAAACAGGATTTCTGAGCTCTAGTTGCATAGTTTTATTTCTCTGTTGATAATTCCTACTTGAACTATTGCTGCCATAATATTTTCGTTTAATTATTTGAACATAGTTTTCTTTATAATTTACATAGATTTTTAAATATTACATTAAAATACTTTTTTTTCAAATAAATTTAACATCTTATCTCCATACAAGTTTCTATAGACATTATTTTCCCTTAGTATGGAAGGCATTTTCCAGTTTCTTTCCATTCTTTTTTTTCTTGAAGATTTTATTTATCTATTTTAGAGAAAGAGAGAGTGAACACATGCAAGCAGGGAGGTGTGGAGTGCGAGGGAGAATGAATCTGAAACAGATTGCACTGACTGTGGAGCCTGACGGGGCTCAATCCCACAACCACAAGATCATAATTAAATAAAACCAGGAGTCAGACACTTAACTGACTGAGACACCCAGGCGCCCCTCCCAGTTCATTCTTTTTAAATTTTTTAGGTAGAATTTTTGATAATATAGTTTAGTAAGTATGCATTCTATTTCATTTTTCTTTGATTTATTATTTTTGAAACTTGCAAAAAGTTTTACTGCAAAATTTTCTAAGTCTGCCTGCTGATAGGTCTGCTCAGTTTTTCCAGATTCTTATTGTTTATTTTTATTTTTGAGCCAACATTCCTAGGGCTTGCCCTTGTGACTTTGTAGCTTAGATGTCAAACACTAATTTTTTCCAAACACTGTGTGCAAAGACTGCAAGTCAGTAGAGCTTCCACCATCTGCCATATGATGTGTGTGCATGTGTGTGTGTGCACGTGTGTGTGTGTGTGAGAGAGAGAGAGAGAAAGAGAGAGAGAAGGGGGGGATTGCTCATAACTTTACTAGCAGTTCTATTTTCTACTGGGTTCATCTTGGTATCCTCTTCCTATATGCTTATATATATATTTTTTTTCCATCCACCAAGAGTGTGTAGAGAGTTCTTGTCAACTCTTCCATTGTACTCTCAGTAACAGAATCTTAAGTATTTATGGGGGGTCACAGTGTTTGACCACAACATCTGACTAGTAAACATATGGGTTTTCTTCATTTGTACCAAGAGAAATCATCACTTTGAGCTGAAAAGTCAATGGGCTATTTCAGTCCCTTATCTACTGCTAATTGAGTCTGTGGCACCAACACCATTGCTTTCTGCAGCTTTTCCAAATTGTGGAACCACAAGCTTCTGGATCACTGAGCTACAGTGGGCAGGCAGGGAGGCAAGGGAGCAGTGCTGGACAAGAAGACTACGGATGTGCTTTTTCTTGCTTGAATCACTAGGAGTGATTTTCAATGATAGATATTTCATAAAATATTGTTAACCTTTGATCAATTTTTAGGACCCAGAAATTGTTGCCTTTGTAAGTTTGTCCTCTTCGCTCACTCCTACTATGATACTCTTATAATATGTCCAGTGTGTAACATTTATGATAGTTTGAAAGAATATCTAATGATAGAACATTATATGATAGTTTAAAAGATTCTATAAAGTAAGAAAGAGTTAAATTTGTTACTACAAAATTCAAATGACTATGAGCTTTTATTTGACTTCTAATAAAATTTGGTTTCTCATAGTGTTTGTTGGAGGTCTTCATTCATTCTTCATGGATTAAAGTCTCCCAGAGAAGCCACTATAATTCATCTGTGTGGCCAAAAGGCTCACCTTTCTTTTCCAAAGGGTAAGTTTCTTGAGAACATTTATATTTCATGACTTAAAAGAATTGCTTTTATGAAGAAAAATAGCAATATTTGAACAACTATATAAATACAATTGTTGAGGTGTTTCTATAGGAAAATTATATGGGGCAGATTTAGAGATATAACTATTTGTCTAAATAAATTGTTTATTCAACAGAATATTATGTTATGTATTGCTAAGATTAATACGATCTAATTCTCTGTATTTCAGGTTGTCGGTATCCTCAGAGAGTGACAAGAATTGCCAATTTTTTTATTTTGACTCAAGAAAATGTTCTTTTGACTCCTGTTTAGAAAGGAAAACATATGTTTGTAAGCACCAGGCATATTAGCCACTTAATTTCGGTATAATGCTGTCTCACCATCTTAAAAAATTATATATATCTCATTTCTTTAAAAGCCAATTATTTTCTCAGAAATATTTCTGATATTATTTTTAGAGCAATTTTAGATTGACAACAAAATTAAGAGGAAAGTACAGAGCTAGCTTACGTTGTCCCTGTATGCACATGTGCCTGGCTTCTCTCATTATCAGCATCACTCACTAGAATGGTTCATTTGTTACCAAGGAGGAACCTGCATCATAATCACGGAAAGCCCAAAGTGTACCTGAGGTTTCCCCCTTGGTGTCATAGAACTGTTTTTCTGTCTTAATTTTATTAATGTAAATAATATAAATAGGGACAAATTATACATTTCTTAAGTTTTTGGTATTTGTTAAATCATAAATTACAAATTATAATATCAAATACTGTTACTATAAAGCTCTCACCAAGGTAAATAATTCCACTCGTATTTCCAAATGAGTTGATTTCTCATAGCCCTTAAAGGGACCGCATATGACAACCTAGGGTGGCAATGTTATCAGTCAGAATTGAGCCAGGAGACAGAAACCAGAGGAAGATTGATATAAACAATTATTTAGTATTTGTAAGGGAAAGCCTACTAAGAGGAAAGGCTGCTAAGATAAGGAAAATTATAAGATACCTTTGAGTAAAAGGAGAGTACCCAAAGTAGTGAACACTGAGAAAGACAGATCTACTCTCTGAAGATGGGATTTAGATGTTATTGAAGACAATGCGGCCACAAACAGCTTCATGGCAGACATTGACCTGGGACAGAACAGTTCGCAGTCCACAGGCTGAACGAGGTTTGGATCTCAGGCTGTGACTGGTAGGAAGGAAGAACCCCTGTTAGGAAGCACAGAGCAGAGGGAAGGAAACTGTGACTGGGACTGGCCACAAAACTTGCTGGAGGCTGAATACCAGGACTTCCTGCATGCGTGCTGTAGGTAATGAAGCCATAGCAGCCAAACACCATGAAACCAGGAAGAAGAGCCCTTTCTGCTGCGTCTCTCTGTTGCTTTTTACCAACAGAACTCAACTTCATGTGAGCTGGCAAGGAAGAGAAGTTGATAGCACCTCGCTCCATTACCTGAGAACAGGGCACTGAGGGATCCATGTGATGCTGAGAGGACTAATTGCTTCTCGGCCTTTTGGCTAAGATCAAGTGGAGCTGAGAGGACTAAATGGTTAACAGGCACTCAGGGTATGTGCATGCTGAGTCACCTGAGTGGGCCTTTGTTAATGACCATGGCCCAGCCCTCCTTTGGCCTCTTGCTCAGAAAGGCCGGTGGTTGGGGTTGCCCATGTGGTTCTCTCCATGGCTGCATTCAGCAGTGCATCGTTGTTTATGTCAGGGGTTCCCAACCTTTGTTCAATGTCCTTTTTCTAATTTATGAAGTGCACCTTTTTTTTTTTCCTAAGATTTTATTTATTTATTTAACAGAAAGAGATCACAGGTAGGCAGAGAGAGAGATGGGAGGAAGCAGGCTCCCCGCGGAGCAGAGAGCCTGATGCGGGGCTCGATTCCAGGACGCTGGGATCATGACCTGAGCTGAAGGCAGAGGCTTTAACCCACTGAGCCACCCAGGTGCCCTTGAAGTGCACCTTTTATAGTCGTGAAATTATGGCTGATGTAAATGACCCGTATAGATGATGGAAAAATGACACACTTAGACTTACTTTAGAACAAAATGCTATCTCAAAAATCCTAATCTTTGGGGCGCCTGGGTGGCTCAGTGGGTTAAAGCCTCTGCCTTCGGCTCGGTTAATGATCCCAGGGTCCTGGGATCGAGCCCCGCGTCAGGCTCTCTGCTCAGCAGGGAGCCTGCTTCCTCCTCTCTCTCTGCCTTCCTCTCTGCCTACTTGTGATCTCTGTCTGTCAAATAAATAAACAAAATCTTTTAAAAAAAAAATCCTAATTTTTTCCCTAGGAATGGCGTTGGGCATGAATGCACTGTGGCTTTTAATGGCTTCTGATGGACAGTTCAGGGCCAAAAGGGTGGAAGTGGGTGCCGAGATCCTAAAGTTCAAGTTTCACACCCCAGCCATGGGCAAACAGGCACTAAACTTAATTAGCTGGAAGTTGAAAGGGTGGACTTTAGTCTCTGACAGGTCTGCACCAACATTTTTGGGGCTTACAGGCCACTATCATGGATGGCTTGCTGGGATGCTGAGTTTGAAGACCTTTTCTTATAAAGGTATGAAGAGCTGGGGTAGCTTACAAGGCCTGGAACAAGGAGTTTTAAGCCAAGGCAGACTCATCAACCTGAAGATTTAGAGGGCATATTTGAGAGTAGCAATCCAGTTATGAAAGCAGCTTACCAGTTGAAAGGCACCTGAATGGATGCTCATGGGATAGAAGATCATATCTTCAATTGTAATAAATTATTATAAATAACAACAACAACAAATCAGAAAAAAACAGGCACTCGAGTTTATCCTACAACAGGGTTGCTATATAAGAGCCATTCACATCTGTCCCACATCCTCAGAGAATTGAACCAACATCTGTCTTCTGAATCTGTTTTAGTGCAGCATTATTAATGATTAGGTTTGTTTTTTTGACCAAGATTGGTATTTTCCTTAGATAATAAATGGTGTTTTTTGATACATTTTCTTGTTTGTTTTTTTTCCTCACTTGGGTTGCAGATAGTTTGGAAGATAATCCTGTTTTATTAAATTCTCCACATCCCTACTTTTGCCACTCTTCACTGCAATGCTTAGAAAAATACTTTAATGGGAAAAAATGTTAAATAAAAAAAGAAAACAAGAATTAAAAATATCATGATACTTGTTGTGGGTCAAAGAGTTGGGTATCGACAGAATTTGGGAAAGCCTTTAGTAATCTGATAATTATTCAGAGACATTTCTACCCTAGTTCATTCACAAGAGGGAAAAAGCTTACTTTGATTATAACTTGCAAAATGAGTTAGTATTTCATATACATTATCTCTTCGAATATAGCCTTGTTCTTTATATTCTCTATATTTATTCCCTAAACTCATATAGAGAAATTATACGAATATTCAAAATTAATTTCATATAATACATAAATAACAACTGTTAACTAACTGCTAAAGTGGTGTTACAAACTGCCCAAGATTGCATTGACATTTAAAAATAATTTAAAGATTCCCGGGGGGGGGGGGGTCGTTGGCTAAGTGGCTGCCTTTGTTTCAGATCATGATCCCAGGGTCCCAGGGTCAGTCCCATGGAGGGTTCCCTGCTCAGCAGGTAGCCTGCTTCTCTCTCTGCCCCTCCCCTGCCTGTGCATGCTTTCTCTCTCTTTCATTTATAAATAAATAAAATCTTTTTAAAATTCTTTAAAAATAATTTAAATTTATTCCTCATTCAACCATTTATAGTTTGGCGGTGTTTCAGTTGATGTAGGCTGAGCATGTATGAGCTTGACCCCAGACTACAGATTCAGTTCAGATCTTTCTTGTGTATTTTATTCTTGGAGGAGTGAGATAAAAGGTGAGAGACCTTTTATAACAGATTAGTACCTCTCAGAGGAGCAAGGAGATGTGTTAATATTTAAGTTAATATTTTAATTAACTTTATTTTTTTAAGATTTATTTTATTTTATTTTTATTTATTATGTTCTGTGAGACCATAGGGGAAGGGAGAAAAGTGGTTCTTAATGCCTGGGCCCTGAACTTGTAAGATGTCACTTTCTTACTCACATTATATTGCGAGAAAAAGTCACATGACCCAACTTGCCTTTAATTGTCTGCAAAATTACTCTTTTCAAAGTGGTCAGATGGAAGAAATGTAGATCACTGAAATATACCTAATCTACTACAATAGTCACAGGAATATTTTTCTCATTATATTTTATGAGATAAGTCTGTTTGAAAAAAAAATATTGGAAAATAGAAAAAAGATTAGTTACTTTTTTACTTCCCATCTAGTTTGTGTGTGTGTGTGTCCTCTATGCCAAATATTCTCAGAAGGCAGTTTTGTTTAGTGGTAAACATCATCTTATAGATGCTTTCACCAGGGTCCCTAATCAATATAAAAATGGGAGTAACCAGTATGGGGTAAAGTTTAAGGACATCGCCAATGAAACCAGGTCATTTCAATGTACTTTCTGAATGCACAGTCTTAGCCCTGTGACTGACTTAGACTCGGGCTCCTCTCCTGGAAAATACAATGGAAATCATGTTTGATTCATAGAGTTACTTGAAGATTATTTGAAGAACACCTCTTGGCACAAAAGTATTCACTAAATCTCAGTTGTTTTTATTTAAAAACTTCATGCTTCAGTTTCATCACCTGACATGAGGACCATAATTGTAGCCGCTTACTAGGGCTGATCTGAAGAATACATAACATAATCCCTAAAGATCCTTAAAATAATGTGTAACCACATTCAGTTCTTGCTATATGTCCTCTTTTCTTATTTTGTTTCCTTAATATTTAGTAAACTCTGATTTCAAGAAGACTCGAAGTCTAAAACTTTGTCTTCATCTTTTTACCTATCCAAATCTCTATTGTTTCAATATATTGGTATAATGTGGCATCAAAAATATCATCGATTTAACCAATTCATTCATATACAGCAAAGATATTGCATTTTAAACAAGATTTTCGAGAAATTCAACACATCATGTATGGACACTAAACAAGAGTAATTTTTTACTGGACATGCATTCCCATTTTGAAAATCAAGTCATGATTACTTTTCCTTTTCTCAGTGAAGAAGAACCCCTGTGTCCTTCCACAATATGTTGTTTTGGACATATTTAAAGGCTATCTTTTTTTTTTTTTTTTTTTTTGGAATTGAAGAAATTTGAAAGGTACTGTCAAGGTTTGACAAGATAACCTGTTTGATTCCTAGATTTGGGGATCCTACAGGATCCTAGGGGGAGAAGACACCAAAATGCTCTCTTCTTTCCAATGCTGGAGCATCCCATCCACACGTATGAACTTTTATTATTGAAAATGAAGAAAATAAGAGAGAAGCTGCTTAATACATCCTGATGTGGAATACCTCCCAATTTTCTCCCAAAGTACTTACTACATATCTAAACATTCATAAA